GCTTTGTCTAAATTTCTGGAAGGTTGGGTTCAAAGTCTTGGAATCAGGAATTCTGGTGGCAGCTGACATGGATTCCAGAAGCACTCAATGTAGCTTCTCAGCACAAAGTCTTCTGCTTATATGCACTTCGGCCCAAAACTGGCATGTGGCCGAAGGGCTCTGGAAATTCTGTGTTTTATTAATTAAAATAAAGATTTTCTTTGTTCCCTATTTCTGCTTCAAACCTTGCAACGTTAGTTCACATAGGCATGGCCAAATTTTGCCTCTTCCTCCTTCCTTTGTAGTATTCAAACTCAGCCCATTTCCCAGAGCATGTATAACTGTGACAAATCTAATTTTTAAAGCATGTAGGTGGAAGGGCAGAGTTCCAGGCCAGCCATTAATTTCAATTCTCTGAATCTTTTCTATTTCCCTGGAAATATCTGTCCAGCAAAAACCAGATCACTGATGACAGAATTTGTTTTCATAACTCCAGCCTTAATACATTAGTATATCCGACCCATCAAGAAAAATTCATTTGCATTTTAACCTTGTAAATGATACATAAAAATTATTTCTCCAATCTGCTTTCATCAACAAAAATAAGTTTACCTAAATTCTCAAACAAGAGACAAAACTGCTTTCCATCCATGGCTGATTGCTGTCTCAGCCAAAACACAAACCAGATCACCTACTTGGCACAACTTGATCAATCTTCATAATTCAACTCTAAGAAAACAGGTTCATTTTCTGTTTTCGTTCATGAAAAATGTGTTTCCCTAATTTATCAAGAAAGCGATAAAGCCATTTCTCTGAATTTTGTATGCCAGACTCTCGATAGACCAGGAAAATAACCTTTTAGAAGAGAAGAAATCCAGACATCTCATTCTCACTGAGGAAAATTCCTCCACTATCTTCCAGCCTACATTTCATTTTGGGCTAACCCTTTTCTTTTCCTGCTTAGGATTGATGTTTAACCATCTCACCACCTCAGTGTCACATATAATCTGAATTGATTATAAGTCAAAGGTCAGTATACTGAAACCCTCAGTTATGATGACTTGTGACTATGCTAGCAAAACCATTATCTACACAATTTCACTAACAAGGCTTGCGTCAACCCATAATATTGTTTTGTCAACAGGGAACACCTTGCCAGGAGAATATTATTAAGAAGTTACCTCTCTGACAAATCAACCATGGTGAGATTTGAAACAGAGTTTCATGTTTGAAATTAGTGGAAAATCTACATTTTGGGGGCCCTGAAGCTTGAACAGATATGGAGGCCTAGCAACAACAGATTCAAGGATCCAACTGCAAAAATGTAAGCTATGAATTAGGTACTTCCACAAATTCATGATACCTAAGGTTTAAAATGAATTTTTAAAAGTGAAAAATCTTTCTTGAAGCTTTTATTTTTGTTTTAATTTCAAGTTGATAGATTAAATTTAAAATTTACAATAAGCAAAATGCTTTGCTTTACTTCAAAACTATTCTAAATTGACTGGAAGGAATTATCTTTTTTACTAAAAAAATTGATTTTAGCATCATTTTTTAACCCACATTTATTGCAATGTAATTCTCTTTATTAAAAATGTCTTCCAAAAATATTCTTTTCTGAAATTTTATTTAAGGAATATTAACCGATTTAAAGTATAATTAATCTGATTTTAAACAAATGTTATTTACTTTAAGTTTAAAATATCGCAGAAATGCATTTTTTTTTAACCTAACAGTAACTATTTATTTAAGGTGTTGACAGCATAACAGGTCTAATGTTGTTCTACAGAGACTTTATCTGTAAAACATAATTGAAGAAAATGATGTGGGTGCCTTTTTATATAATTTTTAAGTACTCAGTAATTTTAAAAATTTAGGAAAATATTCTCCATAATCTAACGTTATATTGAATTGTAGATACTGTGGCTTTAAATTTACTATAATTATCACTCTTATTTTCTGATAATGCCATGTATCTACAAAAACCAGCATGTTTATACACATATGAAAAAAAATATTCTTTTAAAAATATTGGTGATTAATGATTTGTACTAAGCTTTTCCCTTTATGATTAGTAAATATAGTTTTTACAACTTATATCATCTGAAAGGGTGAAATTAATATAGAATTTTAAAAGATTTTTAAACTTTATAAATTATTCTAATTAAAAAAAAAAAAAAAAAATGAAAACAATTCTTGTAAAAATTCATTATTCATTGAAATTTCTTTTTTTTTGAGACAATAATGTCATTAATATATCTTATTTATAAAAGCAATTAAATGCTTTTCTAATTAGATATAATGTCTTCCTTGATTACATTTTTTAATTTACAATTCAGAGCAGATTTTCAGTTTCAGGTGTTTCTGTTTGACTAAAAAAAATTGATGATATAAATTCTCAAAGGATTCCTGCTTTTAATTAATATAAATATGAAGGTAGTGGAATTAAAATTTCTCAAAATTTCATAAAATTAAATAAGGTGATGTGGGGGGGGGCACATGTAAAAAAAAAAAAAAAAGAAAAATTTTTTTACTAAGATTTTCTAAAAAAAATATTTAAAAAACAATTTAATTCATCTGTGAATAAATCAAAAAAATTTCATTAAAATCCAACAATTTGATTTTTGCAAGAATTTCCAAATCAATGTCTTTTTTACTGTAAAAAAATAAAAAGAAAGACACTAAAAATTCCCTATATTTATCTTTGCCCAGTGACTTGGCCAATGCAATTAATTTTCAATTCAAAACATAATGCAATAATCTTTCTAAATATCTTAAAGTTTTATTTTGTTAGGGATTTCCTAAAATGAAATGAAAAGGGTTTGATAACATAAAAAAAAATTTCATTGAACTTTTTTTAATACTAATTTTTAATCGTGGTTCTACAAAGATGCTGAGGATACCATGGATCGAACATGTGTCCAACGACGAAGTTTTAGAGAAAATGGAAGCAAAAAGGAAACTTCTCTTTGACTTAACATTAGGAAGGGCACATAATGAGGAAGAAGGGCTTGGAAAATCTGATACTCACGGGACAGAGGAAAACAACGTATATAACTTGAGCTTGACTGAATGGATGGCAGCACAGGGCTTAGGAGAAATAACAGTTTAAGACCTACAATGGACAAGAAGTTGTGGAGAGCCATGATCACCTACGTCCTGAGGAGACACAGCACGTAAAGAAAGAAGAACGAGCTTGTTGACAGAACAGGGATTGGGAGGAATAGCAATAATACAAACTTTACGAAAAGCTACAAAGGAAATAGCGAAGAGCCATGATCGCCCACGTCCTGAAAGGACACGGTACAAGGAAGAATTTTTAAAACTCGGTGTTTTCGTCCGAAACTTTTTTTTTCTCATGCAAATTAATTGAATTATTACATCATCACACTGTTTTTATACGGTGTAAACAACTTTATCTCTGGTTATGAAGTGGGTTGATGTAACTAGTAATTTTGTAACACTAAAAACAGACTTTTCTCAAATTGTTGTTTACAAATGGCACAAAAATTAGGACGATAAAATTTGATTTTTCTTTTTATACAAGTGGGTTTATTGAAATTTAAAAAACATTTTCCTGTCAAATGTCGAAATTTAACAATCATGAGTGGAATGTGGATTATTACATTTTTAGCATCCTTCATTCCTCGGACATTGGAATTTACAATATTTTAGTTCTCAGGCAGTTTTAGTATCACCCATCTAAGTGGATAAAGAAAATATTGTAGCAAAATCCGATTTAGCCAAATTGATTATGACGCGCGCCTTAGCATTTAAATCTTATTTATAATTAAAATTCTTATTTGAAAAAAAAAATCAAATAATCAATTAAAATTTGTGAAAAAAAAGTCAAAATAAAAATTAGTCAAAAATAAAATAAAAATAACAAAATCTTCTTAGATATTCAGATAGTACTTTATTTTACTCTAAAGACGATTACTATTGAATATTGATTGATTGATTGACAGAGGAATATAGCTCAATCAAAATATCAATCGAACACACAGGATATTTCTCAATTTTATTTTTATGACAAAAGAAAAAAAAACTCTGAAAATAAGACTCGCATCCAAAATGTAATATTTTCAAAAAATGCCCTTCTAAAAATGATAACTACTAGTTCGCTAAAAATAAAATTAAAGAATAACCAAACAAAAAGCAATTTTTAGAAAGTGAATTCGATGAGGTGAAGCAATATTCAACAACTTTTGAAAAAAAATGTTTAAGCTTTTTTGGTAATAATTGCTATTAGCAAAAAGGAAAACTTAAGTAAGCTGTATAGGAAGAAAGGATCTTGTAAATAATTGTAAGCTACTAAAAAACTCTTTAATTTGAGTTTGTGGGCTTATTGGACTAAAAACATGGTAAAAGCGGAGAAAGGAAAACAAATTTTTATTGAGATCAAATAAACATGAAAACACTAAAGAAATATAGGAGAGGTCATACATAAGTAAACAGTAAACTTCTTTCCTTTTCTTTTCGTTCACCCCTTTTTTATTCGACCTTTCCAGTTTCAAGAAAGGGTCAATCAATCAGTTCAACAAACTTTTGCACTTTGTGATACGATTATGCAAAAGAAAAATACACGAAAAAAAAATTACAAATTATATCATTTCATTATTTATAAAAAACTATTGGTGTGTTTTTTCGATAATTTGCCTTAATTTTTTGTCAATATTTTTCCATATTTACCTCCAGAACAAATAAACACTTCGAAAACAAGTCAACACGTTTTCACGCTTTTTTTTTATGGAAGAGTACCACTCCACCCTGTCACGCTCGAAACAAAACGTGGTCTAAATATTCTATGGGGTAGGTCGATTTTGTACACGGCAAAACAATTAAATTCTGGATACAGTCTTTATGACTATTTCGCCCGCGTATTATTTTGTTGTTTTTTTAAACATTAGCAATTTGGCGATAAATAAAAAAAATGTTTAAAGAACAAAACAGTACAGAGAAAAGAAGCAAAATAATTTATATCACGGCAAAAAAAAAAAAAAGGAAAACCTGATACTTACTTGTTGAAAGAATTTCAACGCAGTCTATGCATTTTTAATAAGTTCCGTCGAGTGCGACGAAGCCTTTCCCATGATAAATGTTTGGAAGCAATCGCCATTATCACCATCACTGGTGAAACTCTATGCACACGGGAAACAACAAAAGAAAAAAAATAATTTGCAATAGTTAATTTTCTTATTGCGGTGTAAAAATTGTAATCTAAATCATATGGATAAAAAAATGTACCGAATTTTCATGGTAAGCTTGCAATAAAAGGAATAGTCATTAGTTTCAAGGCCACAAGTTAAAAGGAATATAAATCATAAGGAACTTCTTGAAGCACAGCCGGTGAAACAGAGAAAAGTTTCCTACGAAAAAAAAAGCGTATAATTTCTTATTTCCTTTCAAATTTAATTACTTATTATTCTCTTAGGCTTTGTTTGTAATTTATAAGATTTTGGTAGGATATGTAAGTATACTGTAAAACCGAGTCATTAATAGGAATTATTAAAAACATCTTTTTAAATGCCCAAGGAGTCCATCACTCCCACAACTTCTGTTTTTGTTTAAGTTTAAAGTGTCATTGAATGTAATGACCATGTGAAAGACAGTGGAATGTTGTTCTGTTGCCTTCTCCACATTTTACATTCAGAGTAATCTTTTTCCTACACTAGATGCTATTCAAGACTAGTGCGGGATTATTACCCCACTTGTCTACCAAGGAACTTTGCTAGAAAATTTGTCCCAGCTTTCCCGCATCAAAGGGTTGAGTTTAAAAATAGGGTTGAGGTTTAAAAATTTGCGAAAAAACGCAAGTAAAACATCAAGATTAGAGCGGACAAACTCTCTCTTTTAGGCACGTACAAATAAAGAAAAAACTCCTGCTCAGTGAGTAACAACAAAAGAAGAAAGTGTTTATTAACAACATATACAGTGTAACCCGGATATAAGAGAGATTTTCTCTGGTCCCAAATTAGAGCCTGTGTTAATGTATATAAAATAGACCAAACCCGGATATAAGAGAAACCCGGGTATAAGAGACTTCTTCTCCAGTCCCGACAACTCTCTTATATCCGGGTTACACTGTACAGAAAAAAAAGGTAAAGGGATAAAAGGATGATTAGTAGAGAAAGAAAGGGAAAAGAGAAAATGTTCTTAACTTAAAAAGGCTTGCTCAAAATATTTCTCTGAGCGCCTAAAGAGTTCTTTAAGCGATTAGATGTTATTGTTAAAATTCTGATAGATACACTCACAATTCTTGTAGAATTGGAAATTTGTTCGCAGATGAAGGAATCCTGCAGCTGAGTGAGTTTTTTTGGTCGACAACAGAAGTCTAGTGGGCTCGTCAGGAGTGGTGAAGGGATGCAGCTTTGGATTGGTCTTGAATAGTGGACCGACGTTCATTTTTGACAGCCCTTTTTAGTAGTAGTTCTTTGGTGAAAGAGGTGCTGGAGCTTCCTATCATCGACCTCACAGACGGTGGGCAGAAATCTCACTGTCGAAATAGGCAAGATTCTCCAAATTTTGGAGTTTTTCAGGGACTTTTCTCTCCAAAATCGTTGTACAAATTTCCTGGCTCCTCTATTGGTCAGAAAACACATTCTTATCTCTGATAAGAATCAGGTCCCTGGGAGCCGGTTTCGAAGGTACTGAAAACAGGTTAAAGTGAAGAAGCTGTGAGGTTTCTCCCAGACTTTATGGCACCATGGAAAGAATAATGGTGGTGAAATTCCTTTTTATTTTCCAGCTCTCTCCTTAGTCAGAAAATATATTCTTATCTCTGATAAGAATGAAGGCCTTGGGAGCCCGTTTAGAAATTAAAAAGAGGTTGGATTGAGGATCAAAAAATAGCGAGAATGTGAACTTGTGAAATTGTTGTTCTCAAATTAAATTCCAACAACTTCTAACACCAACTATGAGTTGACAAAACAATATAAAAGAAAAGGACACAAAGTCCCTCACTTTTCTTTTCTCTTTTTATCCACATCATGCTGTAAAGACAAGTCATGTTTTATTTTTTATTTTTGTTTTATTTAGATGGGGACTACTAAATCCCCAGTTAACCATTGTACACAGCACAGGCATATCTAATAATTCTACTAAGTTGTGTACAATTTGACATGTGGTACAGTGGGGACTAAGAAAATTCCTAGAGGGGAAACAACATATCTTGTCCCTACATCTTGTGGGTAAAGGGAGAAAGAAGAAAGAGAGTTATGGAACTCACTACTTCTGTTGCAAGGTGTGGACATTTTTCAGTAAATATTTATGGGCACCTGGTACATTTGTCCTGCAAACAATATTGGCAGACTCATGTGAGTCTGGGTAAAAATAATTCAACAAAAACAGAATTTAAACAGACAAGTATTTATAAATATATTAAATGAACATGATACAAAAAGGAAAATGAGAAATGAAGTCAAAGTTGTGAAGAGTTCAAAGCAGCCTTCAATATGTGTCTCTGAAGTACTTACATACTGAGAGCATGAGAAGAGATGTCTTGTTGCTAGCAAAGACAAAAGGGAAAGAGGAAGAAGCTTTCAAATTTTGCACTACCTGTAATTATCTTCAGTGAGGTGGGGGGGGGGGTGGGGACTGTAATTCAATATCTCATTGTCCGTGTCAGAGGGTGCTAATCCAATAAGAGAAAGATTTTACACTGTTTTCTTTTAAACTGCTTTTTGACAATGCCATCTAGTGGTCAATAGAAGTTTTTTGGTACACAAGTGGAGTAATTTCAGGCCAAAGATCTCTGTTTATACAATTATTTAACCCATATCATTGGGGAAGAGAGTAAGAGATGCATTCATGTCTTTTCTAAGGGCTGTAGTGTAAAGTAAACATAAGAGATTAAACTGGAATCTAATTATTATCAGAGGAGGCTTTGTTAGCCTTCCAGACACTGAAAACTAACCTGATAGATGCCAGGCTGACTGTGATCAGTGATAATCTGATATTTGTTGTAGAAACCAATGCATCACACAACTCTGTATCAGTAGTACTCAGTCAGGAGAATTATCTAGTTGCCTTTTATTCAAGACTAGCAGCATGGCCCAGCGTTGCCCGTGCTTGATTCAAAAATCGTACAACTCATACAGCAATTGCTATCACTTGACTTAAAATATTTTTGCCCTTCCTTGCCTTTAAAGGAGTGCCCTTTGCCATGCTGATATTGCTACATGCCTTACTTCTTGCCTATCTCACACTGCACTCTAAGCTCTATACTAAACATTAAATCTGTTATGAAAAAAGAACTAAACAAAATGAACACAAAATGATCAGCTTAATAAAAAGACTCATAACTGGAAAAACCGAATGAAAAAAGAATGTTAACAACAAATACTTTTTCACACCCAACCCAGTTCTGTGGAATCAGAATCAACATTGAGTTTAAGCAAGCAAATTAGCGAATTGGAGTAAAGTGCCATGCAGATTTAAATTTTTCCCACTTGTGACAAATGCAGCTATCAATTTTTTTGCATGCTAGCATGCTAGTTAACATTTGTGTCAGTCAGCTGTTGGCTCTCACACTGGCCAATAGAATCTTCCTGCCTATTCGTGGCAGCCAGCTATAGGCTCTCACTCTGGCCAGTAGAAAATGGCCGCAAACTACATGAAAAGTGCTGTAGAAGCATGAAAAAATCGATTATTTCCACTATCGATGGGAGTTGGGAAATGCAAAGTTGGTCTTGGTCTTCCTGCTAACTTGGAGCATGTGTATGTAAATTTTGGTGCAAATCCGTCAAAAATAGAGAAGGAGGCTCTTGCAATAGTTGATGCTGTTAAGAAATGGAGGCACCTCCCAATTGGTAGACACTTCATTCTAAAAACTGATAAAAAATTTGTGTGATTGTCTGATGCACAAAATCATGGAAAAATAAAAAAATGAAAAATTTCTGCACTGGAGAATCAGTCTTGCATTTGAAATTCACTACTGTGAAGGAAAAGAGTATGTGGTAGTGGACACTCTCACCTGAACCAGTTGTGCTATCTTCTCGAACAACAAACTGTTAAAATTGCATGAATCCCTGTGTCACCCAGGTGTAACCAGAATGATATACTTTGTTTGAAGTAAAAACTTACCATACTCCTTTGAAGAAATCCACACAATAACAACCAACTGCCAAACGTGCAACAATTAAACCAAATTTCCACAAACCATCTAATCTACACCTAATCAAAGCCACTCAAACTTTTGATCAACTGAGCATTGACTTTAAAGGTCAACTATCTTCCTTATCTCACAAGTATCTGCTAACAATCATAGATGAATTTTCCAGGATCATTTTTGCCTACCCATACCCAAACATGTAAGCTAAAACTGGATATAGCTGCCTGTCCAATCTATTCTTCATATTTGGCATGCCCACTTACATCCATAATGATGCAAGAAACAAAAACATTCCTACACAATTACGGAGTTGTCACTCATAGAACTACTCCTTATAATCCAGATAATGATGTCATCTGGCAGTCAATCCTTCTGGTATTAAAAACCAAGAATCTTCCAGAGTCACATTGGGAAGAAGTCTTGTCTGAAGCTTTACATGCTAATTGTTCATTGTTGTGCATGGCAACTAACTGTATGCCACATGAATGACAATTCAAGTTCAACAGATGATCAACCTGTAGTGATATATAAATTAGGTACTGTATAAAAGACAGTATTGCCATACCTACATGAACGTTATCTTCTCTTGACGAGACTAAATCTGTCAGAGAGGATACTTATCATAACAATATGATCTCACCAATCAGTTACTTAGCCACGATGGTGGATCCTGAATATGTGGAAACTTGGCTTAGGTATTTCACAGAGTCATTGAGAGTTAAAAAGTTAAAAGACACCAAAGCTAGTGGAGGAGAAAATGAAGTTACAGATTTGTTTTTGACCTCAGTGGGGTGTGAGGTCATAAAAAAATCACTATCCTGGTCTATCCCAACATATTGGAAGATTTAGTGTATGAAGAAATTGCTGCCATCATAAAAGCAAATGTACAACCAAAAAAGATTGGTCATAGCTCAAAGAACTAAATTTCTTGAAAGTAGGCTGAGACTGGACAAAACTATTATGCAATATGTACAGTGGTTGAAAGACATGTCAAGATATTGTGAGTTTTAAAGAATACGTTCAGAACAAATGTCTATCAAAGATGAGCTAATTATGCTAAGACTAATTGAGGGAATGTATGACATCTCATACAAGTGTAAAATTCTAGAGTGGCTTCAAGCTCATAATATGAATTTGGAAGCATGT